GAATTTGGCTCCAGCCTGTGGCTAAGGGGAGGGGTTAACTTTCTGCCACAAGCTTTGGCTCCTTTTGGTCTCTGATCTCAGCGCCTAGTTTGCTTTCCCCAGTTTCAGGAACTTCATGGTTGGAGTTGGTGTCAGATCAAAATTCTGCAATGTAATTCAAGGTGAAAGAGTCCAGCCCCAACCATTAGGTTGCGTTCAGGGGAAATTTAGCACGCGGTGTCTGTTTGGGTCCAGCTGTTGGGGATCAGGGAGAGCCCCCTCCTTTCTCTGGAGCCGTGCTTCCCACGGCGCGTGCCGTCTGAGCAGCCTGCAGGAAGCTCGTTGTCCTTCGGATGCCCAGGTTGGCTGATGTCAGGTAAAGGGGGTCTCTGCCCTTGATGTCCATGCCAAGTCCGTTTCCCCCATTAATTTACCATTGTCCCAAACCTCAGCCATCCCACAAGTAACTCCACAGTGAGGGGACCCAGGTCCCTCTCTGCCTTGAGCTCCTGGGGCCAGAAAATGGGAGGAAGGAAGGAGCTGAAAGTCACAGCAAGTCAGTTAATGTCACAGCAGGGCAACTTAGGTGCAACCACCAGAGAAGACACCTGAAAGTGTCCTGGGAGAGTGGCGGACCACCTTAGGCACTGTCCCTGCAGTGGAATTGCTGCAAAGGGTGCTTGGTCATCACCCTCTTCCCTGAGCCTGAAGGGAGGAGGAAGGGTCCCCGTCTCTCACCCCCTTCAGGAAGATGTGACCTTACTGTGGCACCTGCTGGGGACAGCGGGAAGGTTAAAGCACAGGGTCAGAGGGGGCCAAACAAACAAAGCGAAGTTGGGCAAAATGCACCTGCTCTCCAGCCTAAGTTGGAAGTCAGGGAGGTTCCTCTGTTGAACCCTGAGACCCTTCCTCCAAACTGCCATGAGTTTCGGGTTTGAAATGAAGCCTCAAGTGAGGTGGGATTTGCCTGCCTCTGGTCCTCCCTCACGGGCATTTTGTTGCGCTGTCTGTGCTCAGTTTCCTGCAACAAGTTTCCACTAAGAACTGCCAGCGTCCAAGAGGAGAATAAAAGATGACTGTATAATCCCTCAGGTTAGGACTCTGCTGTTGCCATTATCAAAGATAGTTTGCAGCCGGATGGGAAAATTAAATGTCAGCATTGGAATGCATGAAGGTCATCGGATCCCATTACTTAAGTAATGTATACAGATCCGTTGTGACACATTCATTTGCTAACAGAGACCACACACAGTTCAGTAGGGAAGTCGGGTATAAACATGTAAATGGGAAAGGTATTTCCATGCGGAACGGACGGGACCTTCAGCACCTCTCTCTCTCTCTCGCTATGTATATTTCTTTCCTTTTCTTTTCTCATCACCCTTTCTCCATGTTTCACAGGACTGGCTGACAAAATTTGGTTATCTGCCTCCTCCGGATCCCGTCACAGGACAACTGCAGACCCAGGAGGAGCTCACGAAAGCCATCACTGCCATGCAGCGGTTTGGAGGTCTCGAAGCAACAGGGATCCTAGGTCAGTTTTAAATGAGCCCCTTTATCTGTGGTGCATAGGGACGGCCGGGTGCAGAGGTGGCTCCGAATAAGTCTGGGGAAGAGAGAGGCCTGCGTGCTCCTGTACCAGTGTGTTGTGGAGTGGCAGAGTTTGCAGGAAGATCTGGCGCGTGTGTAACGTACATCTCCGTTTGCAGTTATAAGAGTAATTACATGGCTCAGGTGCTTTGTTGCCTTGAGCTTTTAACAGCCTGAGGCAAGCAATTATTTCACCAGACCCACAAACCCTTGGGGTTCCTATCATGCTTAAAATAGCTCTTGACGTGTTCAAAAAAAAAAAAAAGGCAGAAAAACTAAGGCTGATAGGTTGTTTTGTTCAAAGCCTTAACTGCAGCATCAAACTGAGTGAAACAAAAATTCTGATTTAACCCTCCACATTTACATGGACAGATCTTCCTGTATCCTTCGTTAGGAAAAGGAGCAGGGGAGGGAGAAGGATCGCCGCAGCAGCACCCCGGCCACGGTTCCTCTCCCTGCTCCTGCCCACGGCGTTTTTGCAGCGAGCGGCTGCAGACTTTCCTGGCTCTCCTCGGAGAGAGCCAAGCCAGGGCTCAGCTACGGCAACTCACAGCTGCGCAGGGATGGCCTCATGGTTCAAGCATGAAGCTTGGGCGTTCAGGAGCGTGTCCCGGCGGCGCCGGGGATCCCTGTGCGACCAGGGTGTGTGTTTAACCTGCTCATGCCTCTGCTTCTGCCTCGGGAAAGTGGAGATGTGGAGCAGCGGTGGGTGGGTGGGAAGGCTTCAGTCGATCCTGCTGGATATATAGAGCTGCAAGGGGTTATCACAGCGCTGAAGCAAGGCAGTCTCGATGGTTGAAGTGTTTCACAAGCCGGGTGCCTCCAACATTGCCCGCTGTGTGAGGGCTGCTTGGGTTCCCACCATGCTCTCAGGCTCTTCCTGGGATCACCATGGCTGGGGGCCAGGCTCGGTGATCCCGCCGGCTTTGCCCAGCCCAGGTTGGCCCAAAGCCCTCGGCCTGCGGCGCTCGCTCAGCGCCTGCCGGCCCAGGCAGCTCGGGTGGCCGGCAAGGGCTTGGCGGTGGGTGACTTTTGCCTGGGCTGGTGACCGCATCAGGCTGGCATGAAGCACCCGCAAGCGTGAACCAGCCGAATCAAAGCCAGGCTGAAGAGATGCAAGTTCCCTTGCTTGGCCCTGCCTGGTTTTTCTCAATATTCACATTGAAAGAAGAGAGGGAAGGAGAAAGCGAGCGTTATCCGAGCCCTTTGAAAGGGTGCCTGTTGGCTCTCTTCCTCTCGCAGCCGGCTAGCAATTATCCCCCTCGTGCCTCGGAAACGGCCGAGCCCGACGCCCAGCAGCGAGCTCCCGCACCGCGGTCAGTGTGCTCTCGCTGCCTCTATTTAGGAGAGAATTAGAGAGAAGCTGCTAATTAGCGGGCGCCTCTGCCGTGCCAGCTCGGGGCTTCCCTCTCTGCTCTTCGTTAAGCACGTGCAATTATTGTTATTTTTTTTCCTTCCACCTTGTCGCAAGCCCCAGGAAGCCCGGGAGCAGGCCCTGACTGACTTGCCGCTCTTTCTGCACTTTCTGCTTCGGAAGTGATGTTTAAAGCGGGACTTGTGGGCGGCCCTGGGTAGATCGTGGGTTTAGGTTTGAGCCTGAAAATAAAGCGCTTAAATAAAGATATAAAACCGGCACTGAAAACTGGTGAAGGAACAGCATCCGTCTCGTTTTCAGCGGATGAGATTGTGGCCTTTAAGATGTCATTCGATTTCAGAAGTAAAAAGGAAGGAACATGAACGTTTTCCAGATCCTAGCTTAAACAGAGATGTAGCGTATTTACATGCAAACTTCTCCCTGCTTTGCCGGAGGAATAACAGGTAATGCAGAGAAATAGAGAATAAAACAGAATAAATAAAATCCTGTGTTTTAAAAAGTGGTCGAAGCAGGTCACAGGCTGTCTGCCACGCAGGTTGGCCAGAGCAGTGAAGTGTCTCGCAGAAGGCAACGTGCTGAATTTTCTCCCGCAATCAGTAAAGCCGTCCGTTTGCCCTAGCGAAGGAGCTGCCGTTTAAGCCAGGCGTTAGCAGAGGAGCCAGAAGAGCACCGAGCGTTTCCCCCCGCCCCGACCCCATCCCCGAGCAGCCCGGCTTGGCTGAG